AAAGATTATAAAGACATTTTAAAAAATAGTCTGAGTGGCTATATCCTATAGTAGGTGAGGTACAGGCTCTGGGTCAGAAGGCCTGCCTTCTAATTCTCCTGGTCTATCCACTAACACTGTGGCCTTAGCATGTTATTTAACCTCACTGGCATCAGTTTTCTCACTTTGATATACTTACAATGATACAACACCTATATGATAAACTTGTTCCACACAGTAGATGGTGAGAAAGCATCACCCTTAAGGTGCTTAGAACAGTATCTGACACAAGGTAAGCATATTTTTTAGTTGCTATGAGCCACAAGTATTGATAGGAGATTAACTATATATCATTTGGAAAAGGTAAAATGTAGAACAATATATATTTGTCAAATGAAACCAAAAATAGCAATAAACTCCAGTACTGGCATAAAATACATAAAATAGCACCCTCATAATTGGAAAAAAATGTACTAGAAACCAATTTGAAAGATATATGTGTGCATATATACATATGTGTGTACACACACACACCCACATACTAAAAGCATTCCAATCCAAACTACCCTTTATTCAGGCAGTTTTGCCTACGGTGTCGTAATTAAATAACCACAATTTAGAAGGATTTACCTGCAAGAGTATTCAAGGAAGTATCGTTTATAATTAAAAAACACAGAAGTAACTTCTGTGTCCATGACTAAGATGATTTACATGTCTTAGGATACACTGGGCTGCATTCTTACACTGAAAAGCTATGCAAAATAATTTTTTGAGAATAATTTCTAGTTAAGTGATAAAATTTAATGATTTTATTATGATAAAAATTATAAAAAATGGTGTGATTCTGTTTCTTCCCTTTTCTTTTCTTTTCTTTTTTTTGCAGTTTTTGGCCAGGGCTAGGTTTGAACCCACCACCTCTGGCATATGGGGCCGGCGCCCTACCCCTTTGAGTCACAGGCATTGCCCCTGTTTCTTATAAATATGCAACATAAGTATGCATAGAGAAGAATTAGAAACTTTAGAAATACAGTAGAAACTCTGTAAGTTATGTGGTCGCAACAGACCACCCAAGGCACTGTAACAAACTGGTTATAAGAAACTAGGCCTACTATACTGATATGTACACGTGGTGCATGTCTGGTCTATGAAAATTAGTCACCTTAAGGAGGTGGTCAGTGCACTAGGGAGCACATCAGCTGTGGAGGTTCTACTGTAGTTAAGAGATGCGACACACTCACTGTTTTGAGTAATGTGCTAAATGCTTCATAAGCCACATGAAGTAAGCAGTATTTATTAATGTCCTTATTCTATAGATGAGGAAATTGAGCTTCAAAGAGGCTATGTAACTTGCCTAAGGTCACACAGCTATTAGGAAGCAGAGCTGAAGTCTGAGCCTTCTGATCTAACAAGCCTCATCACCTCTGTCTTGGGCACAGGATCCAGCATACAAAAGGGGCACAAGGAGCTTTTGTGGGAAGAAGGAATGGAAAGTAGAAAGGGAGCAGAGAGGAAGGAGGGCAGTACCTGGTGTCTTTCAGTGTTGACACTTCAGCATTGACGCTGGAAAGCTTCTGCCTCAGGATGTACAAGGCCCAGGTCAGGAGGATGGAGTTGACCTACAAAGTGCAGCAGAAAAGACTGAGAGACTCAACGTGCAAATGGACAATGACCAGCCGTCTATAGAAAGAGAATCCATAGCACCAGCTCAAGAGACTATCAATGACCCCTACACCAGTCATCCCCAGACAAGCAGCAGGTCTTGGTTAATAACAGACAATTTCCCTAATTCTTATTCCTGCTTCCAACTTAAGAGCCATGGGAGGGAGCCCATGTGCTCTCCCAACCAATCAAACAGGATAGCCTGCTTCGAATTAGCTACACCCTGCAGCTTCCCCATGCCAACAACCTCAATCAGGTCTGCCTGAAGCATTCTCTTTTTTTCCACTATTAAGATTTCCACTCTTCTGCCTGCCTTTGGATCTAAGCCAAATGCAAATAGTGGCTGACTCCCTTATGCTATACTATAGCCATCACTGAAGAAATAGCCTTTGCTTGTCCTCATTTGGGTGGTCATTGTTTATTTCCACAGGTTGGATCCAATAAGTTCAGACACAGGCTGAGAGTTTAGTACCTTCTTGGGCCCTCCCTTAAAAGCATCTCAGCCTGGGATGCACAGACTCCTGGGCAGGTTCTCTGCACCTTGGCAATGCTGACACTGGGGGAGCATCATTCTTGGTGTGTGGTCCTGATAGGAGACTGGAGTGCTGTCCTGTATGTTGCAGAATGTTGAGCAGCCTCTCTGGCCTTTACCCACTAAATACCAGCAGCACCCACCCTCTTAGTTGTAGCAACCAAAAATACCTCCATATTTTCCCAACTTCCCCTGAGGGGAAAAACTGTCCTGGCTGAGGACCATTGCACTAAGGGAATTGTTTTTTCCAAATGAATAAAACTTCCAGGAGAGGGCGGCCCCTGTGGCTCAGTGAATAGGGCGCTGGCCCCATATTCCGAGAATGGCAGGTTCAAACCCTGCCCCGGCCAAACTGCAACAAAAATAGCCAGGCATTATGGCAGGTGCCTATAATCCCAGCTACTTGGGAGGTTGAGGCAAGAACTGGAGGTTGCTGTGAGCTGTGATGCTATGGCACTCTACCGAGGGCAACAAAGTGAGACTCTGTCTCTAAAAAAAAAAAAAAGAAAGAAAAGAAAAAAAGTCCAGGAGAGCCTAATGTCCTTGAAGATTTCAGAATGAGAAAGATAAACATTGTATTATTATTATCACCATTTTTTACCATTATTGCTAATTACTAATATTTATTGCACTCTGATCAATGCCAGGCATTGTACTAAGCATTTCAAATGGATGGTTTGAACCCCACCATCACTTCCATGTGGAAAGTCTAGAGAGGAGAACTTGGCATTGTGAGGGAGGATAAAGTTCAGGGTTATAGCCAGAGGGTTGAACTTGCAGGAAAGAAACAGAAAGGGACACTCGGGGATCTGGGCAAGGACAGGTCATGAAGGACCACAGGTGTCAGGAGTAGCGGCAAGCATGTCCTGAGGCAATAGAGAAATCTTGGAAGAGATTCTATCAGAAGTGTGTCAGGATCAATTCTGGGTTTTAGGAGTATCACTCCAAAAACTCCTTTCATTACAAAACATCACAAATGCTAGACGGACCCCAAAAGACAGCCCCTCAAATGAGTAACAGCTTGCATAACAATAAAAGAAAAACACAGAGGCCACCAATGAAAGAGTCATCACGAATCCAGAATATTGGAGCTGCTCCAAGTGTATTTCCTAAAATTAAGAATCTAAAGCATTGAAGATCTAAGGGTTATTCATGACAATAGGGACAAGCTCTTTACTCCACATAATGTAGGGAGTTCCTGAAATAAAACAAGGACAACATCATTGTGGAAAGATTGAAAAAATGTATCTTGGAAAATAAGATAACTTTTCTGTCTAGTGAAAAGCCTAGTAAAGAAAAGAAAGAGAAGCAGTAAGAGAGTGAGACTCTGACACACAATATATTGTGTGTGTATAAAGAAAGTGAGAGAGGGAAAAGAAAAGAAGATGAGAGAGAGAGAGAAGAAACTGGAACAGGAGGAGGTAGATATCCCTGGGACCAGGGACCAGGAGTTGAAATTTATGCTAATCTCATAGTCTGGGAAACCCTGCAATGAGAAATTCATCTAACATTGTTCCAGGTGGTACTGCCCTGATATGGGGTAAATGGTATTCCTGAAGAAGACGTGTTGAAGCACCAACTCCCTGATGTCCATTGTGACCTTATTTGGAGACGGTGTCTTTACAGACATAATCAAAGTGAGGTAAGTCATAACAAGGAAATCCAGACACAGAGACAGACAAGCACCCAGGGAAGATGAAGTGAAGAGAGATACAAGTGTAAGATGGACAGCTATAAGCCAAGGAATGTCTGAAGCTACCACAAGTTAAAACACACCCCTCCCTTGGTCTGCAGGAAGAGTGTGGTCCCTCCAAATACCTTGATTTCATACTTTGAGCCTTCAGAACCATAAAACAATAAATCTCTCTTGTTCTAACATGCCCAATATACCTTGTTGTGGCAAATATCTGATAGGTTTCAAGTATCCCAAAGATTTACCTTAGTCAAACATGAGCTCACAATTAAAAATGA